GTTGATGATTGTTTTTGTTGTTGATGAGTCTCTGCTCAGATATGTTGTTGTTGGATGTTTATGTTGTTGTTGTTGTTTTTTTTTAATTTTAGCCGGGGAATTATCGGGGTTGGGGAAACCCGATCCCCGTTGGGGGACGGGGGCGGGGGTGGCGATGGGCTCCCCGTTGGGGATCGGGGACGGGGAGTGTGATCCCCGGCCCCGTCCCGCCCCGTTGCCATTCCTAATTATATGCACCAATTGGTATACCAATTAGTGTACCGACCGATGATGTGACATAATTTTAGAGGCTTTGAGTTTTTTGTAATTTATATAATGGACGGGATTATAGTTTTAAAATGATAATATCATAACTATATTGGTACAGTAATTAGTATATTAATTTATGCATGTAGCACTACCGTATTTTTTATTGTGCATTAGTTTCAAAATAGAAATATATGCAAAAAATTAAAAAGATGATTTAATCATATTACATTAAACAAGATCTAATAGAATACTAAAAAAAAAAATGAGCTAGACGGAATAAAACACTTTAAAAAAAATTATCAAAAAATGACCCATTTTTTACTCTTTAATTACTCATAAATTATACCTATAACAAATACGGCTTATCAAAAAATGACCCATTTTTTTCCTCGTCAATTACTCATAACTATAATAAATAATGGCTCACGGAGAACTTATGGCTCAATGGGAACTGATGAAATTTTAAAAGGATAATTCCTGGTAGCTCGAATAATTGGCTCAACTTTTGGCTCGAATCTGTAAAACGACGTCGTTTTACATTTTTTTTTTTTTTTAAAAAAAATTATCAAAAAATGACCCATTTTTTACTCTTTAATTACTCATAAATTATACCTATAACAAATACGGCTTATCAAAAAATGACCCTTTTTTTCCTCGTCAATTACTCATAACTATAATAAATAATGGCTCACGGAAAACTTATGGCTCAATGGGAACTGATGAAATTTTAAAAATGTTTCCACATATTAAAAATCTTGACACATAACTATGGCTCACGGAAAACTTATGGCTCAATGGGAACTGATGAAATTTTAAAAATGTTTCCACATATTAAAAATCTTGACACATAACTATGAATTCTTAAAATTTAAAAAACAAAAGAACAGAAATTCTGTTTAGTTTTGAATTTTAAAGATAGTTTTAAGTTTTTTATTTTTGATGAATTTTTTTTTTTCACTGAACTTTTTTCACATTTTAGACTTTTTTATTTTTTATTTTTTAGATGCACTTAATTTAAATGTATTTAAAAATTAAAATATTTGGAAAGAAATCTAACTTTTTTTTAATAAATACAAAAAAAATATAAATTTATTTTTGTATTTTCATATTTCTCATACATTGTCATATATATATATATATTGTATTTAGTGAATTTTAAAAAGAAATCACAAATTTTGTACTTTTTAAATGTAATTTGATTAAGGGATTATTTAAAATGATCTAAATAAGTATACTTTTTGACTTTTTATAAAATATGAGTTTGGTATGAATTGGGTTTGAAATAATATAATAGAGAGGTGATGTAACTTAAATAAGATGATGTGATTTAAATAGGATAGCGACTTTTTGACTTTTTTAGAGTGTCCCAAACAAGGCCTCAGTAAATTTAAAATAAAATTTTTTTATTTAAATATTAGAATATTCATTAAAAACTCAGATATATGAATTAAAGAATTCAAAATCAAACAGAATTATTGTACATATCCTTTTTTGTCCAATGGTTCTTCTCCATCTAAGAATTTTATTTTATTTTATTTTATTTTTTTTGGATTCAAATCTAAGGAGGTGTGCGTTCAAAAAAAAAAATCTAAGGAAGTGAGTTTTAGACATGGATTTATTTATGAGAATTTATTTTAGACCAATATGGGCAAAATTCATTGACCATCCAGGTTGAGAGGCGAAATTGGGGTGGCTGCTGTGCGGGGTGCCCAGCAGCTATTGCTGTGCAGTCAATTGAGTTTTTTTTGGGGCTTATTTTTATAATTCGAACCATACACATTTTAGAATACATCAAGTAGAACATACCTGTAAAAAATCAAGTTAATTTATATCGTTTACACATTCATCCACTCACATTTGTATTTATTTTAATACTTTAAATTACAATTGTTATTTATTTTTATAGATACAAATGTGTGAATGAATGGGTAAACGATATCCGATTAACTTGATTTTTTACAGATTATGTGAACGGTTTAAATTATCAAAATGGACCCCAAAGATGACCCAATTGGCTCACACAGCAGCCACCCCAATTCCGGTTGAGGCTTGACAGAGAATCTAAACAGATCTACTCCTCATTCTTCTCGAAGGTGAGTTCTCTCAAAGATTTCTCTCTCACTGGCTCTCTCTCTTTTTCTCTCTGAGTGTGTATGGAAGAGAGAGAAGTGGCGGTAAACAAGGGCATCACAGAAAGCACTCAGATTCCTCGTCTAAAATGGTGCAATTCTTACAACTCAGACAACATACACCTACACGAGGCAAGAGAGGCAAGTCCGATACCAGGTAAAAATAGATATATATGTATGCATATGTAGATACAGAGAGAGAGAGAGAGAGATCACTACATAGGTTGATTGGTGATTGAGTTTGCCCATCAACAGCATAAACCCTAATAATAATTACTGTTTTAATGGGCTGAAGTGTGGAAACCCATCAGTTTTAGCTTTAATAAAGATTTTGACCACCAGTTTTTTATTTATTTATTTTTGTATTATCTTGTATAGATCAGATAAATAACACCCAGAAAAAAAGAAGAAAAAAAAAAAGTGAGAGAACAGAATAATCTTCAGAAAACTGCAAACTATCTGTCTGTGTGTGAGAGAGTTTTTTTTTTTTTAATCAGCAAAGAAAGACTGCAGACAGAATAGACGAGGGAACCCCCCCAAAAAAAAATACCTATCAAGAAAACAGAGAGCAAAAACATCAGCAAGCAAACAACCATAATGAATTAAAAAGCCCTAGAAACAATATTGATCTAATGAATAACAAAGTTCAATCTTTTACAAATCATCCATGTTAGCAACCTCAACACCATCTTCAAGGGTCAAAAATCCTCTCTCTGTGTTGTGTGTGTGTGTGGGTGTGTAGAGGAGAGACTTAGGAATAAGCAAGGTATTTCCTCCTCCTATGAAATCCCACATTTTACACTATCTTTGGGGTTACCGAAAAGAAAAGAAATAATTATTTAAGTTATAAGAGAAGAAAATATTGTGATTTTTTTCTTTTTTATTTAGTTAAATTTTATTTAAAAAAATATTTTATATTATATTACTAAAATAATCTTTTTTATATTTTGTCAATCATTTTATTTTTTTTATTTTTGTAGGAATAAAATTAATATTATAAAAATATAAAAATTTGTTAGTTTTTTTTTTTCTCTAAATCTCTCTATTTTTGAAAAGATTGAAAGTGTGAGTTATAAAATAAATATGTTTCTCTCCGTCTCTATTATTTTTCTCCATTTAAATTATTTAAACTAACAAGAAAAATACATATCACTCTATCTTTTTTTTTTCTAAATTACTTAATCCAAACATAATGTCAGAGACACACAGTAACATGAAAGACAGCTAAAAGAGAAAGCAAATAAAAAGATTGAAAGGTATCTGCAGAGAGAGAGAGAGAGAGAGAGAGATTAGGGAAGCTCCGGGTATCTGCACACGGTGAGAGATTAGGGAAGCTCCAATAATGGCAGATTACCAATGGATGCCATAATAAAACTGTTACATTTGTCTTTAATGATTGCTCCAAGTTTTTTGGTGAGAAGTGGGAAACATGAAACACCCATTAGGGTACTGAAAGACCACTCAATAAATCAAACAATGGTACAGTCTTGTCATGTGGTTCATTTTCATTTCATTATCTAGTGCAGATGGAAGGACACTCTTTTTCTAGGGTTGAGTGTGACATAGTGCAAACAAATATAATTGCAATCAACAGGTATGTACTATATGTGCGCTATGTTCAATGTTCATGCACCCAATTCAAAGTACTAATCCTTATCTTTTCTTTTTTTTTCTTTTGGGTTCAACCGTCAGGGAGTGTTTAAATCTGCTTACACCCATCTCGATTAATTTTTTTTCAAATTCGATCAAAGGCAGGCAGGTCATTTATGCACGCCGAGATTAAAGAATTCATGAAAAATTATTTTTTCTCAGACTAACTTTAAGAATTAAATCATGAGTAATTGTACGGAGAATATACCCACCAACCACTTCGGACAACCCTTAGGGTCAGTCCTTGTCCCTTTCAGTTTGCGGGCTCAACCACCTCTAACTCCTTTAATGGAGGACCACACAAAAATAGTCATATCTATAGGATAATTAGAATGAGGCCAACATTATGAAAGGCTAAGGTTAGTAAAGCAACATAGTACATGACTCAACTCGAATGTTTAATGTTCATGCACCTAACAAGTAGTTGTCAATTTACACAGGGAGAGGTCTAATTTTTAAAAATTGTATAAAATATATCCGACATTTTGTACCATACAACATGACTGCACTTAAATTTTATCATCGATCTCATGGACTATTATAGTATAATGACTTGCACAATATGCACTTCTAAGAGGATAAAGGATTTTTCTCAACGGGATAGCTATCCGCTTATTTATCTTAATTTTAGTGAGATTGTAACTAAATACATATTGTGAAAAAAAAAAAAACAAAAACAAAAACAAAAAGAAGAAGAGAGAAGAAATTAATGTCATTGTTCAACAGAGAAAATGCGAGTATTGTTCAAGTTAAGCTCGAACTTATCTAAATTTAAACAAGCCTACAAGGAGATAGCCCAATGCAGACTTTAGCTCACAAGCACTCATGTCCATTTGTATTTTGGTCTGTCAGGTGATTACGAGAGTGAAACATGAACACAAGGAATTCTATCAAGGAACAAATCTAAAAAATTAATGAGACCAATGAGAGAACATAAAAGGAATACTCAGAAGCAATAACAAGAAACAAAAATAAAATCAGAAATGAAAGGGGAAATAATTTATGAAATAGCGTGTCTTAATTGTCACACCCGCAAAATTTAATAATGTGAATCCATACATACCAAAAGAGAGTTGTTTTGAAAATAGAAACAAAGCCATGTTGAAAATATTTTAATTCCGATAAAAAATACTTACTTGGGAGTGCTGTAATTCCGCTTTTCGGCCAATGCTTTGATTTATGATTTATGACCGTCCCCTTGCCTTTGTTGCCAAATTCTTCTGCAAAAAGTTGCACAGTGTCACCTTCCATTTCTCATTTCTCTCGGACAAAGTGGTGATACACTTCAATATGAATAGTTATTAGAAAATATTTTTCTTAGCACGTAATAGAACGAAATTGTTATTTTGTTGCTTAAAAAAAAATTAAAAAAAATAAAAAAAAACTTTATTAATAATAATCAAAGAACAATGCATATGATTATCATCAATAAAAAGTGATAAAGAGTATCACAACATAACTAAACGATCGCATCTATGTTAATACCAAAATATCATGCCCAATCATATGCTAATACAATCCAAAGTTGGTAAGTCACCAACCAACAAGGCAAACACAATTACAACTTAAGCATTGAAAAACCAAAATACTAACAAATGATAAACTAACAGACAAACCCAAAGTACCCCCAAATAGTCTAAATGGTTGCTAGCAAAATCATTAGCCTGCTTAATGCCTATATATAAGCTACAGGTAAAGGAAAGGAGGGGGTTTTCTGCAAAAGAAGAATTTATTCATATAAAAAGGATGTACTAGTGCACGAAACTTTCGCTCAAGCAGGGTCTGGAAAAGAGTTGATATAGGCAGCTTTACCCACAAGCGGAGAGGCTACATAGTTTATTCATGTAATTGAAAATATAATTTCACACACCCAAAACATCCCATATTACATCTACCCTTTAGTTAACTTTTTATTGCAGTCGTGGACATTGATGGATTTACTGTTAAATTCCAAAACTTGCTCATGAATCACACTTAAATCAAATACCCTTCTTTGAATAAATGATTTAGAAAAACAGTAATTTGTGTGTTTTGATTGTTTTATTTTTATTTTCATCAGTGAAAGCCCTATTTGTGAAAACAGAATCAGAATTGTAACAGTCAAGTATGAAGCAGAAACCCAAAAACAGTATTGTAACAAAATAGAAACAATACTATTAGAATAAAAGGAAATAGAAAACAAAACTTCTTATACTAAACAGAAACACAATAACACAAAAACTGTAAAATAATAGAACCCAGAGATTGGTCAAGGCTAGTATTAAATACTATGTTTTAGGACATAATTCGTCTCTCTAGCAATGGTGCTTACGAATTTCTTGAACGTCTGCCTTGCAAAAGATAATGATCTAAATTACATAGATGAAACACTACAATATGCGTTTGGCGGCAAACCCAAATAATGTTGCATTCTCTTCGTAAAAAAAGACTATGAATCATATGAGTGACCGGGAAACTGATGAAATGAAGGGAATAGAGGGATGGTATTTATAGCAGAGTCAATGATTGGTTTATAGAACTATTTTGTCCAACAGCAAATCATGGAACAAAAAGGTAAACAACTTAAAACAAATTTTGTCCAACAAATAAAATACTCAAATAGGGTCAAACCCGATCAGTTTTCAATAACCCAACCCAACTTGATTAGGGGACCCGTAAAGACTACGCATGAGACTCTCCTTGATTTTGGATCAAGATAATCACAAATCATGCATAAAAATAATTTTTTCTAACAACTTTATTGATGTACTTGTATTGTACTATGCTTGTATCGTTCCTCATTACGTCAATAATTTTATTTAAAATTTATTGGCATTGCTAATTATCATAAATGATGCAATATTGCACTACGCTTTTATCCTTCCCCATTACATCAATAAATATTTTTTTTTTACCAATAATAAAAATAAAATAAAAAAATTCTCAGAGTTGCAGATTATCATAAATGACACAAATGTAACTCAATGCTCCTACATCAAGTTTACTCCATTTTGAGTTGTAGCTTCACAACAATGCTTTATGACAAAATTTGAAACATCCATAAAATGATAAATAGCTTAACAAATATATGGACTCTGCATATTGTAAATAAGTAGAAGTAAAAGAAATTATCAAAATATGAAGGCCTAAGTGCATTGGTACTTTGGTGTAATTAAAAAGTATGATCTTATTAGCACGTAAAATACCGATTAAACTTATACTTTATAATTACTTTTACTTATTCTCATCACTTAAAAAGACCGACTTCATAGCTAAGATCACAGGACGATAAAATTATACAAATACAATTATCAAATCAATTTGATTTTTTTTTTCAGCATTGATCTATACACTGAAATTTAAAAGTGCATTGGTACTTTGGTGTAATTAAAAGGTATGATCTTATTAGAAGTAACAATTATGATCTTATTAGAATCTAAAATACCGATTAAACTTATTCTTTATAATTACTTCTAGTTATTCTCATCACTTAAAAAGACTGACTTCATAGCTAAGATCACAAGACGATAAAATTATATAAATACAATTATCAAATCAATTTGATTTTTTTTCAGTATTGATCTATACACTGAAATTTAAGAAAATGTACCATATAGATTATTGTTGTAGAATAACTGGGTTCTTGAAGGAATATCAAATACGTGAGAGATTGAGGATCAAAGCTAGTGAAATTGAGGTTATAACAGACTAGTTTCAAAGATTCTTCTCATGGGACTTTATGACACGACTTGGTTGGCTACAAAAAAATATTTTCAAGATTTCAGCTCACTACCAAAATATTTAAAAACTCTATATACTATACTAGTAATTAGTAATATAATTTTAAATTAGTATACTTTGTATCTCCAAAATTTTAGTAGTTACTACCCTCAAAATTATGAAAGTTCACACCCCAAATTATTTACATAACAATTTTTTTTAAAATAGTTTGTAAATCGAATTTTATCAACTAATGATCCCTTTTGTTTGCTACCATGCTATTTGCTGTATTTTTTGTATGGCTTAAGATTACTTATATATATACATATATTTTTTGTATGGACAGAAATAAAATTTTAAATTTCAATAATACTTTTCTTTGATTAAAAGTTATTTGTCTTTTTCTCCAAAGTTGGAATCCTGAATCTGTCCCACTTTGTGTGTGAGAGAGAGAGAGACCATGCTTTTGGACTTCAAGTAGGCTGAGCAGCCCAGAAGAAAGCTGATCAAAGGTGTTTGAAGGTTTTCAGCTAAATAGCCCATAAAAACAAAATATGTTGTAATAATTTATTTAATAAGACAAATTACTAATAACTTCTAATAATTAGACTTAATTTTCATCAAGTTCTAGTAAAAATAAATTCTAATACAATCGTCGCTACATATAATTTTTTGTGACGATTTTTTACATATTTCGCTAAAAAATGATAATTAATGACTTTTTCTTTCCCCGATTTTTTAAATTATCGTTAAAATTTACAATTAGTGACATTTTTCTATGACGAATTTTTCATACTGTCGCTAAAAGTTAAAAATTAGTTACCTTTTTTTGTAACCATTTTTTTAAACTGTCGCTAAAACTTATAATTAGTGACATTTTTTGTGATAAAATTTTTAAACTGTCATTGAAAATTAACTATTAGTGACTTTTTTTAATAGTATATAATAAAAATGTCATTAATTATCATAGAATCTATTGGACAATAAATTAGTAGGACCTACACGTAAGTTCCCCTAATTAGGGTAAAATGTCATATTTAAATTATAATTATTTTGTTTTTTTTCTCTTGTATTCATCAAATTAACTATAAAAAGAGCCCATTATCTTTCCAAATACAACTTTTTAAAATTATGTTAAAATAGTCAAAAAGTCAACTAAAATAATTAACTTTTCAAACAAACTCAGAATTTGTGCATACATAGAATTTTTTTAGGGAAATTACATATCAATGGGAAGACAAAAATATTTACAAAAAAGTGATAAACATTATAAATATTAATAATTAAAATTATAAATTTTTTCATTTTTTTATAAATATTTTCTATCTTCACAACTAATGTATAATTCCCCCATTCTTCTAACTTACAAGGCAGAAGAAACTGATAAAAGAAGCTGAATTTATAGCGCCATCATGCATTTCCTTTACCATTTTTGACCATGTATTTTGAGTTACAATACCATATATTTGAAGTTGTGATCCAATCATATTGAGTTACTATACTTTAAACAATTTAAGGAGTCAAACTTGGTGAATTAGGATGTCAATAACGAAGATTATATCATGTTGTAAACTAATAATGCTTTATTCGCCAAGAAGAGCACCTTAAAAAAAAAAAAAACCTTAAATGTATAAGCCACATTATAAAGGCAAAGTTACCTCACTAATAAATTTTTATATGTTACAAAGTAATTTCTAAAGTTTAGTATAATTTTGTAGTTAAATTTTTTTGGGAAAATGGCTGGTAACTCGAAAAAAGTGGCCCGATTTTAGCTCGAATCAAAAAACGGCGTTGTTTTGCAATTCTTTTTTTTTTTTTTTTTTTTCTTTTCTTTCTTTCTTTTCTTCTTCTTCGTTGAACACAGGAGAAGAACAGAGGGGAAGAGGAGGAGAGAGGGAGAAAGAGAGAAGAGAGGAGAGAAGTGCCCCTCCTGTGCCTCCGCCGTCGCCGATCGTCGCAACAGCAGCTCCGAGCGGCGCAGCCCCGCCTCCTCCAGCCTGATTTTGATGGCCCCCTCCCCTCCAATTCTCCTTCTTCCTCATCTTTCCTCCTTCTTCTTCTTCTCTTCTTCTTCTTCTCCAAATTCGAGCATCCGAATTCGAGCTACGAATCGGAGTCAATTTTTTTGTCACAAAATTTTACAAGTCATATTTAAATATAATAATTTAAACTATTATACTAAAGTTTAACAAAAATATTATAATAAATTTTAGGAATCACTTTATAGTATATGAAAACTTATTGGTGATGTGACTTTCCCTTGATGATGTAGCTTGTCCACATAATAATATTTTCAAGAGACTCTTTAAATGAGACATGTTAATTATTTTAGCTACCGTCATCATATTTTAATCACTTCAATGTATTAGTTATTTTAACAAAAAAAATTTAATACTAGATATATTTGAAGAGTCTTGCGATACTCTTTAAACAGTTTGTGCTTATAAGATAGCTAAAATAAAGAGTAAATGAAGTATTTTCGTTTGGGATGTGGATTGACTTTTTGATTTTTTTAGTTATTTTAGCATGCGGTTAAAAAGGCTCGTTGGGGAAATGTGATTGGAGGTGCTCTAAGTTGGGATCTTCCTTCTGGAATGCTCTTCCCGGTAGATGAATTATTATCCTTGATAGAATTAAATGTATTTTTTTAATAGAATTAAATGCATTTTTTTTAATTAAATTAAGGAATGCTAGCTAGTATAATTTATATATACTTAAAAAAATAAAAACCCTCAGCCACTTTGGGACCCACTAAAAATTTCCTAACCAACACTTCTATAATCAATCATCGTGATCTGATCGTTAACCTTATCTTCAGATTGATGTGATTAGTTTTGAGAAAATACGAAATCAGTTTTATAAATATTAATAATTAAAATTTTATTTTTTTATTAATTTATAATTATTTTTTTAAACTCGCACTGATATGTATTTTCTCCATTATTTTTCAGTCATTCGTTGAAATTCAAATATCAGCTCTCACATGGTGGGAAAATTATATTTTGCACTCAAATAAAATTATGCCGTGTTTTAATTCAAAGTTTACTGATTGATAAAAAAAATTATTGGTGTTTTAATTTAAAGTTTACTGATTGATTAAAAAAAAAATTATTGGTTAAAATCTATCTTTTTTGTCTTTTTTAAGAGATAACAAATTATGAAGACCACTTTAATAAAAAAATTATTCTAAAAAATTCATGCTAAAAAAATAACAAATAAAATATAATTGATTCGAATATGTGAATGGTATGTGTAATAATTTTACAGTAATGATACATTCCACTAAAAGTGGTGCTCTAACGTGTTGCCAAGCACTTTAAATAAAAAAAATTAAAAAAAATAAGACACAAGCATTGGGCCCGTCCATTGCCACATCACTAGTGGTGCTTTTAGAGCACCACTTTTAGTGGTCTCATGCATTATTGATAATTTTAAGGGTAATTATAAAATATAAAAAATGGCCCTTATAACAAAATAAATTTTAATTTTAATTTTATCAATTTCAAATCTTAATCTTTTGAGTTGTTTTTATCTAAATTATATATCTATTTTTGTTAGGAAAAATTGATGAAAAAATGATATATTAATTATTAAACTCAATGTAATATACATAAAATGTCTAATGACTAAAATATTATTTTTTTTGTCAGTTTTACTTAATAAAAATAGATAAATGATTTAAAATTACAAACAAATCAAAAATTAAAGATTTAAATTGATAAAATAAAAAATTCAGAATTTATTTTGTTACAATGAACAAACATTGAGATTTTTTTTTTTGGTGGTAATTATGCCTAATTTTAAAAAATGATAAGTCTCCTTATTATACACAATCAAATAAAAGGTGTGTGATTAAAAGGGGGATGTCAAAAAAAAAAAAAAACATATTAACTATTCATTAACTGAATTTGTTTATGTTTAACTCGAATGAGTATGTTCTTAGGAAAAGGCAGGAGACTCTTTTTGAGGAGAGACTAATTGGAACGAATTCGGATTAAATATATTTGGTGGATGTAATGGTATTAAAAAAAATTACAAAAAAATCATAAAGAATATAAATATTAATAATTATAATTATAATTTTTGTTATTAATGTATAATAATTTTTAAACATGATAATTTTCCCTAATAAATCAAACCCACCCAAATGTCCTGATTCTATTGCAGCGTGGGCAGATTTCTACCATCTATTTGCCCTTGTTTGTGCATCACATCAGCTTCAATCAATCGAGATTTGCAGCTAGTGGACAAAACGATCGTTTTGTCTCTTCAGACTAATATATAACATTTTATAGAAACGAAATTATATAATTACTGTAAAAAATTTACAAATAATACTAAGAATATGAATGCAGTGGTATACGGTTATGATTTCTCATTTGAATGAGAAAAAAATTTAACATCCCTTGTCAAGTGATGTGAAGAAAGAAATAATTATGATTTTTCATTTAAATGAGAAAAAAAAAATAATTGTGGTTTTTCATCATTATATTTAGATAAATAAAAGAGGACAACGTAATTTTTCACCTATCTTATTTGTAGTTTCGTTTGGGATGTGGATTGACTTTTTGATTTTTTTAGTTATTTTAGCATGCGGTTAAAAAGGCTCGTTGGGGACGGACTTTTTGAATTTTTTATTACCTTAGTGAGCCAAAAAATAAAATAATTATGATTTAAATATGACATTTTGTCTTATTAACTACTTAACTTATTTTATCTTTTCGTGATTAAAATAGCCAAAAAATCTCTCAAACCCACATGCTTAAGGAAGGCTATATAGGGAAAAGGTCCCGTTTGGTGTAACTATTAAAACAGATTATAGATTATAACTTACTAGATTATAGATTATGACTTTAATCAGAAATTATTAATCTGTTTGGTGTAACTGTTGGATTATAGATTTAAATTGCTAAGTAATTTTTGTTAAACAAGCTGTGAACTAACTTTTTCAATTAACTTTTATTTTTTGTTATTCACTACTTGTCTACATTTCTTATAAAAAAATAATAATAATAATTTAGTCTATTTGAGTCTTTCTATTTTTTTTTTTAAATTAAGAGTATAACCGTAAATTAACATGTCCACAACAGAAACTGACAATCAAAAGTAAAGGGTGAGCAGCTTCTTAGAATCAACTTTTTTAAGTTAAAATAAGTTATTAGAATTAAAAATTGTTTGAAATAAATTTAACTAAGGGTCATGCTACATCCCCCTAAAAAACATCCCCCTAATCCCCCTAATTTCCATATTAAGTAAAGAAAAGAAAAAAAAAAGGAAACAGTTGCCAGAAATGGAAATTAGGGAGATTAGGGGTGAGGATTTTAGGGCTACAAATCATTTCCCTTTAACTAAACAGTTCAAAATAATCTTTCAAAAGCTAAAAACTATAAGTTGGTTCAAAAAATCCCAAACAAACACAACAAAATAAGAGAAAAGAAACGAAAATGTTTATTTTACCAAAATAACCTTTCATATTAATACTTTATATTTTTTCATAAAGATAATTTTGATATTTTAAAAAACTTTCGTGAAACCCAATATCTTTTTCACCAAATCTTATCACTTTTTATGAAATGCAAAACATAGATTTAGTAAGAATCATTTTCTCACTATCTCTCATTATTTCTCACCCCTTTTCACCTAATTAAGCATCTAAACTAATGAAGGGATTTCATATTCTCACTCTATCTTTTCTTAAAGAGAGTGTAATTAAATCTTGAACTTTTAGTTTAACCAAATAAAATTATCTGACTTTCAAAATCCCCTCTATCCCTTTTTTTCCACTCGTATCCCTTGTTCAACATCAAACATTAGTTTCTCCTAACAATTTAGGCCAAGTTTGAGAAGATTAATAAGTGTACTTTTTGACTTTTTATGAAATATGGATTGGATTTGAGTTGGGTTTGAAGTGATGTGTTAGAGACGTGATGTAACTTAAATAGGATAGTAACTTTTTGACTTTTTAAATTTTTTGGAGGATGCCAAACTTGGCCTTAGTAGTCACACTTTAAAATTTAATAAAAGGGGAGGTCAAAAGTTCAAACTGATAAAGTATTAGTGAATCTTTTTTAGTAGTGTTCTCAAAAAATGGTTAAAAATTAATTTTTTTATCTTTTTAATTTTTTTTATATAAAATATAAAAAATGATATGACTCAAAATAAATTAAAAATTGAGAAGTGACTTTTAACACTATCTTTATAAATAAATAAAAAAATCCATTGTTCAACGTCACCCTTATCTCTTTTTCTACTCATTACATTTCTCTATCTACCGCCCCACTTCCTTCCTCCATTACCTCCATTAAAAAGGTGGAGGGAGGGAGACAATAGCGAGTAGCTGTGGAGATTGGAGTCGCCATGGAAAGGGAACTGGGAGAGTGGAAGTGGCTGTTTCATTGTAGTTAAATGCCTGGTAGAATTGAGATGGATGCATATAGTTTTTGATAAAGGGTGGATATAATTTGATGGGAAAATGTTGTTGGCTGTTTCGCATCATGTTATAAATCTGTTTTCCATTAAAAAAAAAAATCAGTTTTGCTCTCTTTTTTTTTTTTTTTTTTTGTTTTCCATCAATGAGAGGCTGACACGTCACTGGGGTGCCACTGGAGGTCACCCCACTAGGAGTCGGAAGCATTGTTGTAATTTGATGTGGTTAAAGTGCATGAAAATTGAGTTCGATGTCAAATTTTAAAAGTGAATTAGAGATCGTCATGTGTTACATTTTTTCTCTATAATAATGATATAGAACTTTAATTTTAAATTTTTAAAGAGAATTTTAATGATGTGGTAAAAAAAAAAGAAAATAAATAAAAATATAAACACATACATCATACCACATTTAAATTTCATTCTTTATTACATTACTAAAATTTTCTTTAAAATTTTAAAATTAAAACTCTCAAGAGCTCTCTTTATTTATGTGTTATTTTTTTTTAATAGAGTTCAAGGAATAGACAACCCATAATGATAGAGTTGAGCACGTTTACCTTTAAATTCAGTGAGCAGTTCATGGAACTTCGTCAAAGTGGGCCCCAAGATGATTAAACATTCTGAAAATGATTACGGAGCGTTTTAGCAAGCTAGTAAAAAATCAATTTTTTAATTTTTTGATTTTTTTAGGTTTTATTATTTTTTGATTTTTTTAAAAAAAATTAAAAAATCACAAAAAAAAAGTTAAAAAATTAATTTTTTAATAAACTTTTCAAAACAACCCCATATAAATTCATTACTCTTTTAGAGGAACACTAGAATATGATTTATGATTTAAATAATTTAGACCCGTTACACGTATGGGTTAGGGCTAAATTAATCAATAAAAAATAATTAATTTAATTAATTATTTTATTTTTTCATAATCATTAAACTATTAAATTAATTTTAAAAAGTCAAAAATTATTTCAAACAAAAATTTTTTTAGTCATGCTAAAATATCTAAAAAATAAAAAAATCAAGTTAAAAAAATTTATACCAAACGAGCCGATCCCAATTGTTTGGGATGCAAGATTTAGCTAATGGGTCCGTTTGGGAAGAACTAAAGTGAGTTTTTTTTGCTATTTTAGCCACAAAAGATAAAATAGGCTATTTTAGCCATAAAAAATAAAATATCACATCCAACATCCAACCCATAATCATTACACTCTTCTCTCACAAAAAAAGTCAAAAAGGACAAAAAAAACCCTTCCCAAACCAAGTTTTTTAACCCAGACTAAAATAGTCAAAAAAAAGTCAAAAAGTCAACCCACTTCCCAAACGGAGGCAAAGATAAAAAAAATGTTATTTTAACTTATAAGACAAAATATTAAGTTCCAAATCATAATTATTTTATTTTTTATTTTATCTTTTCACAACTACTAAATCAATTGCAAAAGCTCGTTTAGAAAATTGACTATTTTGCTTTTTAGCTATTTTGTGTTTGAAAAGTTGATTAACTTTTTTTTTAGTTAATATGATGATTGTGAAAAAAAAAAAATAATTATAATTTAAATGAAACATTTTGTCTTATTATTATAATAACTTATTTTGTTTTTATTAATTATTTTAGCCTCCAATCCGAAATCGGGTCCAAAAAAAAAATTATCATCATCCCAAACATAATCTTTTTAAGTTAAAATAGCCAAATAACTAAAAATCAAATTTAAAAAAATCATCACAAACAAAAGCAGAATCTTTTTAACATGACCATTTTGAAATCTTTAACTATTTAACATGCAATCTATGATTGTAGTTCCAAAACAGGTACATCTATTTTATATGTTAGGGATTCTCTGTCTGTCTCTTTCACTTTGTTTCAAGAGAAAATTACAAGACAGGTGTACTTCTTAGAAAAATAATTATATATTTATATAAAACTTTATAATTTTAAATACTAAGTTTCTAAAATTTAACATGAATTTGTAATAATTTTTCAAAAATTTCATTGATTTGTTATTTTCCCTTGTTTTAAAATATGACGAGTCCTGTAATTTGGTAGGTAAAACTAATTTTAAAAAATTTCAAAAATAAATTTTGACATTTACTTTTAAAATAAAAATTGAGAGTTTTAATTTTAGAATTCGAGTGGAATCCACATGTGACGTGATGTGCGTCTGTTTTTGTTTTTGTTTTTTTATTTTTCTCTTGTCATATCATTAGAGTTTCAAAATTAGAATTCTTTACCATTGTTGTAAATAATATTACGTAACTTCATTAAGATTAATGAATTAGTTATTTAATACACTTATGACTTTTAAATTTTATAAATGATTTCAGAAGTTCGTTAAAAATTAACTTTTTAATTTATTTTGTTTTTTAAAAAACGTAAAGAGGTGATATAATCTAAAAAAATCAGAAAGTCAAAAAAAAATTTACTTTTAACTTTATATTGTTTGGTAAATAGCAAAAGTTTGATTTTTTTTATTTTTTATTTTTTTTTATGAGCTAGGTTTTCTAATTTTTAATTTTTTAACTTATTTTAAAGAATGAATTAATTGGTTATTTGGATTTTTTTGATGTTTTTAGTAATGACAAAACTTGTTTGGTACAAAAGTGTTTTACGTACTAGGAAAATCTGTGGTGTATTCTTTCAAGTGTGTATATATCTTGTTATGTATCTATGGTGTATCCTTTCAAAAGTGTGTATATATATTGTCATAAGTGGCGGAGGGCGCATGTGACCAGGGAGACGTGTCCCTCTGGATTTATTTTTTTATTTTTTTTTGTAAATATAAAAAAAATTAAAATTAAAATTAAAAATTAAAAAAATATTATTAGAGTGAAATGTCAATGACATTTTAAAAATTATGAAAACAATAACGGTTGTTTTGATTGAAAATAAAGAGACTATTATAAATAAATCATATTAGCTATGAAAATTTTTGAATGTAACGACGATGTCATTATTAGTGATATGCGAGTATAAGTAATCTCACTATAAAGATATGAAATTTATTAGATTG